GTAAGAACACAAAAGTAAAAAAAAAAAAAAAATTGATACTAGCAAACCTAAATATTCTTGCATATAGTGAAGCATAAACCCTTTACCAGGTAAACTCAGAAACTCTGAGTTTTTTGGAACACAGCAAGATGGAAGAGTCCAGTGAGCCCCACCTTGCCCCAAACTGCAAGCCAATATTCCTGTGGGGAAGAGAAGGGTGATTTGGAGCCAACTCTCTTGCATGTTCTGCTCTGAGAGCAGCATGCCGGCATGAAGTGCAGCGCAGCCAGGCCAGGAGCTTTTGGAGAACAGTGTTACCTAATTCAGCCTTAGTAAATACAATGTGCATCGAGTGCTTTTTGGGTAGGAAAAGGTTCCAGCCTGCCTAGTCCATCTTTAAATTTTAATAGCAAAAGATATGCGAAGTAAAGTATCTAGTTTTTATTTAATAACAGTGCTGAAAGTACCAAAAAAGAAAAGCACCCTTCCTTGTTTACCACCACAGAATATAACAGCAGCCCAAGCTTAAGGTACTGCAGTCTTTCTTAAATCTTATTTTCTACAATTAAATACAAAATACTTTTCCAGAAGTGTTTTGGACAGATTTATAAACAAACATGCACACACTTATTTCTATTGCAAACAAAATTTACAATAAAATTTTAATGGCATTGGTAATAGTGACTGTCTGTTTTCAGCGTGCATTTATTCTGATCTATGGACTGTGAGGATCGGTCCCGTCTTATTCCAGTGGAGAGACAAAATGGCTCCGCCCAAGATGGACAATCGGCACTGCACGTGGTGGGATCTCCCCACCGCCCGTTTCCCTGCGGTGAGCGCGAAGCGACAAGGTGGAAGGGGACAGCGCCGCCCTGGAGCCCTCCTTTGCCGCCTCCGCCCCTCCAGAAAACAGGACGCAACTCAGGTGGGAGCTCATGAAGATGGCTGACAGCCGTCCCCTCTGAACAAGAGGCTCCAGGCGCTGCCCGAGTGGGAAGCTGAGGGACGCTCTCCCCCCAAGAGGGGATGCAAAGGCAAGGCCGCAAGGCAGCGCGTCCCTCGGCAGGCAGCCAGAAGCGGCTTTCAGGGACACGGTACGGACGTGTGAGAGCAGCCCAGTCACCCAGCCGGCAATGGGTGGGCCACAGGAGCCCCGGGCCCCTCGCAGAAGGGGGGGGGCAGTAACCTCGAGACATCTCATGCCACCGATGAAAGCCATTCCAGACTAAAACTGGGAGCGGGAGGGAGCCCAGCTGCTTGTCCTTACACCAAACCGTTTGAGCTGAAGCTCTTCTTCCACAACCCCCACCCCAGTCGTTTGGGGTTTTTTTATCCCACCATTTTGCGCGGTTGCTACTTAACATTACAGCTGTGAGTGGTCCTTTGAGCAGGACTGAAGCGGCCTGCAGTCGAGGGCCCTGGCTCTTGCCCTACAGGTACGGGTGCCACCGCTGGCAGCCTCTCCTTTCTCCCACTTTCTGGACGACTCCGCACCTACCTCCGGAGCACACCAGAACATGCCCAGTGCTGGACCCGGACTGACACAGGCTCCTGCTTCACTCAAGCCCCGGACTGCTGCCGGAGGGGTGACACAGTCCCGCGGCACCCCATGCTTTGGTGTTCCACTCTGGTGTTTTCACCACAGCTCAGGTGTTTCACCACCC